ACTGTCGTAAGACCTGGCAACTGCCCCGCCGGCAGCACCAGGAGCTGGGACCCCAGCAGAAACCGTGGCTCCTGCCTCGGCCATGGGTCCGGGCGAGCGGCACGATGCCCTGAGGTTGCAGGCATCCCCACGCTCACGGACCTGCTGCACCCCGGAGAGCCAGCACAGGCAACGTCACCTCATGAGCGGGATGAGGCAGGGCCCTAAAATTATTTCAGGCAAGCCACATCCCGGCTCTCGTGGTTCTGACCCGCAAGTGAGGCTGCAAGGAGGTGACAGCCGGAAGAGTCACCAGAGGAACATTTCCAGCGGCCACCGCTTGGTCACCCAGCCGGCAGGCACTGACCAGGGGACAGAGGGGTGACAGCCCGGTGGCGGCTTCCAATGCAACGCCCGACTCCTCCCTCACTAAAATCCTGAGTTGAACATGACTGGGGCAACAAGTCCAGAAGTCAGCACCCTCCGTCCTCCCAGAGATTTGCAGGCACAGGCAGCAAATCATCCTGCTGTTAGACTAAGGCTTCACGGGCGCAGGGGCGGACCTCAATGCCCTGTTGCAGCCCGCTTCTTGGGATACAACCAGCTTCCCAGCAGCAGAGACTGCCACGTTCACAGGCAGTGCTTCGGCACCAGGAACAGCTGTTCCCAGCCCCAGAGCAGAAAAAAGCTGCAAGCAACAGGGTATAATTCTCATATTCACAATATCTGCTTGTTTAAGAAAAGTTTGAGGACTAGTCCCAGGCAAGAAAGACAAGCTGGAAGTCTCCATCCCCATGCGACTGTCACGCAGAGGATGCTCTGTCGCACAACAGGGAAAAATGTCCTTGTCCTAGTGAACTAAGAAAAAGGAGACTGAAAGGTTTACACTTCCAATGGGGATGGAGGAGCATCAGCAAAGTGACCTGAACGATCTTCAGTGCCTCTGCACAATGAATGGCGAGGCGTAATTTAGTCAGGTTTACGGTTTTATAGCGGCTTCCAAAACCAAGAGGTTTTTCCTAGCCATGGGGTGACTGAATCTGAATGCCTTTGGGAACGGTGCATAAATCGGGAGCCAATGCTTTTTCTTTCCCGAGGTCGTGCGTTAGAGAAGCCTGTCGCTGCCACGGGAGGCATTGCAGGGGAAAGCTAGAGCATCCTTACATAATGCAGCTTCTTGTTAGTGACCCTCGTCTAATCTCTACAAGGTATCTCCTTCTGAAAGTACCAAGGGGAGCAGGTGATGGGCAGGGATGTTTGAGCCGATACCATGCTCGCCAAGGCAGCACAAAAAGCAAGGGAGTAAGAGTCAAAGCTCCTTTAAACTAAGTTTTGATCTCCTGCTCCACAAATCCTTTTGGAGTACCTTCCCCATCAATAAGCATCAAAGTTTGGGGGTTTCTGCCCTCAGATAATCCTACCGAGGGGAAAGATGGGTGAGGAGCTTTAGGACAGAAGGGAAGCCGATACTTCTGTCTGTGACCGTTTCAGAGATGCTACCCAGGAAAACTCTCACTGGCGCAGGATGACCTGGACTCGGTCCTTTCCACGGCATGGGACAAGAGGACCCACTGTCCTTGTGCTTCTCTCTTTTGCGGGGATCTCAGCTAAACTACAGGTTAGGCCAGCTGGAGGGTGAATGTCTACCAGTTTGATGAAGCTCCCAGATCTGTGAAGGACGAAGGAGCCCAAACTTTAAACTCAGAGCTCTCCCTCCCAGAAACAGCCTTTCCTCAAAGGCAGGCAGAGGACTTGGAGGAGTAAGAGGAGGAGAGGAAGGAAGAAAAGAAAAGTATTTGCAACCTTTTACCTGAAAAGCCGACAGGGGAGACAGGGGCTCCCTGCTGTACCCAGAGGAGACGGGGATTCATGACGATGTGCAGGGGACGCACGAGGGGGGTCGGCCACGTGGGCTGCGTGCTGCCGTTCCCCACCAGTCCTCCAACCAAGCTACAGCAGCAAACATCGCAGGGAAGGGGAAAAGCAGCAGAACAGACAATGTGCCCGGGGGCTGAGGACAGCGGGGACAGGAGAGTGACCTGTCCATCCAAAGGAAAATTTGGCAGATTGCCTCCACGGGCTCTCCCCCAGGATAGGGAATGGGCAGAAAAGAGGGAGAGGGTGAGGAAAAGGAAGAAGCAGAGTGAGAGGGAAAGCAGCAGCCAGAAACAACTCAAGGGAAGATGATGTGCTTTGAGGAAGCGACCCCTTAGGAGAGAGCTGCTGGGAAGATCTCTGCCAAGGGGCCGGGGAGTGGGGCCACAGGGGTTTACAAGACATGCCCGGAACAAACCAGCAAGGCATCCTCTTCAGGAGGAGGATGAGCTTTGCTCTTGAGCATATGCCCTGGGAAAGGCAGGGAAACCCAGCAGTGCTGAGGGTGCTGGAGGCGTTGGGTTCCCAAGATCAAGAGCTGCTAGCTGTGCTGACGCTGTTTCAGAGGATCACAGCCCCTCAAATCCTACGTGTGGTTCAACGCTCTTACACCAACTAGCAGCCTGTTTGCTCCCTCCCTCGCCCAGAAGCATGCCCCCGTTGTATGCCCCCCAGCTCTCCTCTAGAGACATAAACTTCATCTTCATATTATCTATGAAAGAGTATTTATAGCCAAAACACACACACACACACACACACAAACACATAGTTACACACACATACACAAACACATTTTCTTGTCTGCCAAGTATCAGCTACAGTGCAATTCTTAAAGAGGAGGTGTCAGTCCTTATACAAATGGACATCTACAGAAATATATATATATATAATTTAAAAAAAAAAAAAGCTCTCGACAATTCCTTAACATCGGTGGCAGCATGCGTCACTGTAAATGCTAAAGCCGGCTGGTTTCCCTAGTAGTCTCTGCATACCTTGTTCATTGTCACTTGTTTTGAGGGACTCTTCAGACCAACTTCTATTGCTTTTGGCCTCTGACCTTTTCTTGGTGTGCCTTTCTTCTGTGAAGTCTTTGACCTTTGCAGTGGCCTCTGGCTGAACAGCCTCAGCTAAATCTTTCCTGCTTTGCCGGCCCAACTTGCCGGACGGGGATCTCTCTGGTGACACCTGCTGCTCCCATAGTTCCCTAAGATGCTGCAGGTGACGCTGCTTTTTGGGATGGAGCCCTGTTAATTCAATGCACACCTTCAGGTTGGTCACCTCATTACAATTGGGCTCTTCTAAGTGGTTAGAGGAATTGTTTGTCATTTCCCTCTCAGGCCAGTCATCTAATGGAAAAATAACTAAAAATTAATCAAAAAGCCCCCTCAACTTAAAACAAAAGCTACATTTCACTTTCGGGGCATATAGTCTCAGCTTTACCACCACACTATGCATTTTAAAGGTTCGCTCATTAAGGGTTACATGCACTACAGTAACTTGCACTGCTGTGGCTACAGTGTCCAACGACTAGTGCTTTACCCTTATATACCAAGTTTTTATATATACATATATATATATACACATATATATACATACATATATATACATATATATAATTTTAAGTGAAATGACAGTGCTCACATTAGTAACTATCAAGTTCAAAAATGGAAACACATTAAGCCAAAGGGACGTTCCTTTCACAAGACATTCCTTGAGAGAGACCAAAGCAAAATGCTGTCTTACCTTTGGAGCTCTTCTTCTTTTTTGCTTTTGATATAAGTTCATCCTGCAGTTCATCCACAAAGTTTTCATTTTGGCTGCCATCATTTTGCACTCTCTCACCAGAGTGTTTACGCTTCCTGTCCAGACGCGGACATGGATGTTGGCCAATATCTTCTGTTGGCTGGTCTTCCGCTTTTTCATATATAGAATGTCTCTCTAAATAACATTTCTCATTTGAGAGATCTTTTCCCTCTGGAGTTTCAAGAAAGTGACCTTGGTTGTTTTCTGTACTAGTAAAGTTACCTAAAAATAAAAAAAAACAAACACCACAAGACCTAATAAATACAAAACAATTCATTGTGAGAAAGCTATGCTCTCTAATCTCTTCAATGTCATCTCCATCATGATTTATGGCTCATGAGGCATGCAAATAAACACAAAATTGTACTTTGGAACAAGTCTCCTCTGGTCAGCCTAAGGCAGCAGTTTTCTCAACAGTTAAGTACAAAAACCCCAAAAGCCTGACACTTTGTGTTGTTTTTACATCAATTTAAGAAGTACAATATTCACAATACTTGCATCCATCGAAACATCACAATGCGCTTTTTTAAACACCTTTAGATATCGAAAGCACAGACCCTCTTCAGAAAGCAACCTCGCCCCCCAAAACCATGGTAAGTAATAATCCAAGCTCCATTTTGCAATGACTTTGTTTTCAAAAATACCTTCTGATGATAATAAAGTATTAGTCTTTTGCTAATTCCTAATCCTTCCCTAACTTCTCGCATCAAATTGCAGAGTCTGACTTAAACGCGTTCGTCCCTTCTTCTGGAGATATAAATGGGATACGGAGCACGCACACACGTACATGGGAATACCACTAAGAATAGCTGTGATATTTTGCAAAAAGCACTACTTGAATCCAAGGTTATAAAAAGGCTTCCTCACTTCAAGTAACCAGACAGTCACTGTACATCACATGATCTTTGTCGCCTCCTTTTAAAAAAGACCTCACTTTTTTCAGGGAATATTTCCAGCAGCAGCGAGTGAGTGAGCTTTGAAAAGCTTACTAGAAACTAGTCTGACAAATTAGCCACAAAAACACCCACATTGCCATGCTTGCCCTAACTTCAGCTTCTCCTCTCCAAGACTGTTCCCCCCAAATTTAGAAACAGCTTAAGCAATTTTAAATGGATGCTTGACTTAAAATGACACTTAATCATCATCTTGAATAGGTATTTTTTCTTGGGTTTAACCAAACAAGCAGAAGCACGGTTAGGCAGACATGCGGTACAGACTGCAACACAGTTAATCAGCTTCCTATTTACAATTCTCACAAACAAGTTGGTTTTCCCATGCGTTTTAGTCCTCCCTGGCTGACCAATACTCTTTCTGCACGTCTGCCGCTGTTCGGCAAACTGTCTGTATGCACCGTCCTACTTCCCCACGGCTCACTGTCCCTTTTCCTCTTCCTCCTCCTTGCCCTTCCTCCTTCTCCCACTTCCCTTCCTGCAAACACATCTGCTGGTTTTTTACCTGGACTCCTGACAGCTCTGTTTTCCTTCCCTCCCCCTGATCCTCCCCATCCTTACTCAGCCTCCTCCCCCGTACAGCCTGGCCTTCAGCTTCTGCTCTTCCCCCTCGCCAGGGCAGACGTTGCTCCCCTGCAGCCCTCTCTCTCCTCCTGTCCCCTCCGAGACCCACCACACCAGCACCCAGGCACTGGCAGCCCCTGGATGCAGCCCAACTCTATCCCACCTTATCTTGAGAGCACCTTCCTACAGCTCTGCCAACACCTTCTGGTTTCATGACCATCCTTGAAATACCTCTTGTCAGCAACGGAAGGCTGAGGGAGGAAAAAAAACTTCTCTGATGAGATTTTTCTTCACCACAACTTGGAAGTGGCTCCAAGTAGCACCTAGGGTTCTGGAGATGTTTGTAGGCACCAGAAGACACCCCAGGACCATTTTTACACTGCTTGAGAAGCTGCCTGCAGGGTTGCTTTATAAAACAGCAGAAGATATTTGGCCAAGAAAAATCAAAACAAAAGTTGACTTTTTCCAGGCGAGTGGGACGCTTGGGCCATTTTGCTATTTGGCGATGCTCCACTCCACAAGGGCCGTCTGGCCAACACCTGCTCCCTTCAAGACTTTAAAACGCAGTTTGTCACACTTCTTCCAGCCAGCAATGCTGACATGTTCCAGAAAATGGGTATCTCAGCTCACTATGACTGTGCCTCTAAATCACCAGTGTCCCCCCGAACCAGAATGAATCTGGCAATACCCTGTGCTTGCGCATCTGGCATGAAGATGCTGCCCAACAGCTGTACCCTATAACCACACTAACAGCACCGGCAGTCCTGTTTCACGCAGCTGGACCAGCCACATTTTAAGTATCACTTTAGAAACACTTCTGTAGGATTTCACTTTACATTTTTAATGCAATCTGCTATTTTTCCCCCTTTCATAAGGAAATATTATACTTATTTGCTCAGTTGCCCCGAACAGATCAGGTAAGGGCACTCTCTGCCACGCTCCCGCTGTTTTATCACCTTCACGTCTCTAGCAGTACCAACAGCTACACGCCACGGTTCACGCTGAGAGTCACTAGATCGGGACAGCTTTCCTGCTCCTAACACTGTCTGGCCTGAGAAAAGGCAGGCACATCCTGACCAATTCCCAGAGAAGCTTTCGCAGGGTCAGAGGAAGTAGCAGGCTATAGGGGGGGGTGGGTTTGATGGTCTTAATCTTTGGGGCTTGCAGGAAACAGCAAGCTAATTCCAGCCTGCCACCACCGAAAGCGACCCGCTGCAGATTAGTTCCTTCTCTATCTGCAAGTGGACTCAGCGCGGGGATGCCGCAAATGCGGCTCACTCAGACCGTCCGTGCTAAAAAGTAAAAAGGAGGGGAGAGACATTTGCTGTAACCTCGCTAACAGCTCGTCACCGTTGGCATTTCTCCGGGGCTCTGCATGCCGTGGAGAGCAGCACACACCTATTGAAGTTTATCCAAAAAGCTCTCACTGCCAGCGGCTCTGCGACACCTTTGCCCCCGCTCTCCCGTCACATCCGAGGGGGACCCCACAGGCGGCCAGAGCTATGTCTCCTCGGCCGCCAAGCCAGAAATCCCTCTCGAAGACTGGCTGCTGCACAGGCGCCTCTGAAATCCGTCCTGCTAGATGCAGTTAAGACCATTAGAGGAGCGACATCTCCGCACGTTAATCCGGGTTGTGTAATCATCCTGCATCAACACGGGAGGACAGCGACGGCGAAGCCGGGGAGCCGTGCGGGATGCGTCCTTGCCTATCTGCTCCACCGCTGACGCTCCCCACCTCTTCTACAGCCGGCTTTTCACCACGAAAGAACAAAGGTCAGTCGCTGTTCAGGACACGGCATAACCCACAGGCTGTCAGGCTCTCTAGGCAGCTTGCACGGACACATCATGCACCCAGAGGTTTTTCCCCTCGGCACAGTGGCGACCGCCTCACAGAGCACAGGCTCTATTAATATTTTACCACCAGATTCCACTCTGTCCTCAAACTGTTTTGCAAGTAACCTGGATCAGACACGATGTCTCCCCAAATTAAGATATAAATGTCAACATGAGGCACAGCAACATAAGCATATCGTGCATGCCCAACAGGGACAAGGAGAATTTATTATCTACCCCCACCCCCACCCCCCCATGTATCTACAACATCCTTTTCTCCACCCCAGGAAGAAAACAACAACAAAATACTTGGGAGTTTTCATATCATCATTATTCAGTGACGAGGTAGCCAGAAACACAGCATAAATAGCAACACACCTCTATGAGTAAGGAGCTTAAACTCTTAAATGTGTTCCTTCCTCAAGCCTCCAGCATTTGCCGGTCTCACACCAGCTGTGAGAACCAGCACCAACAACTCAAACCATTTCTCACTGTCCTACCAAACTAGAAACAAGGGAGAATTAAGAAGATGCTTCTTCACATATGGTTTCTGCCTGAAGCAGTATCTCCTTAGTGCACAGGTTACAATCTCACGAGAAACAGTTACACACATGCACCGACATGCTACCCAAAAAAACTTTCCTTCATTTTTCCATTTTCCTGTTGCTGTCAAGCTGCTTGAGACCTGGCCTGCCCATGCGATGCAAACAAGGAAACACATCTTAGTGTTTAAGCTGCAATTCTTTTGTTCAAATAACACAGCAGCTAAAAACAGCTTTTCCTCTTCCCTGGAGCAACCTCTCATTGCGCTCACTTATGCAAAGCACCCTTTATTCATCCAAGGAGGGTAATGACTATCCAAATGCTAAAACCCAGTATCCAGCATGGAGATCACAACAACAGTAAGAAAATTCCGTAAGTCACCTTCAGCATCCAATTTTGACTATCCCATGGAGCAGAGGGAACCCAGCCAATTCCATTTTTCCCTCCAAGAACCTCTGCTTGGGAGCTTTCCACGTTTGTTTCCTTCTGCCCAAGCCTACTGCACTGCACAAACAAGCAACCGCCATTCTCCCTGCACAGACTTTTGTTTTTTCCCCTTTTTTTTTGCACTATGTCCCATGGCAGGAAGGTAATAACTGACCAGGGCAAAGGACATGTTTACTGTCTCCATCCTTCATTTGTTCAGGTATACACATAGCCCAGCGAGAGAAGAAAAGCAGGGGATTACCATGCAAAGGGACACCGGCACCTCGCTCCGACGCTGAAGATCAGCTCTAAAGGCTTTGGCACATTACACCATTTACTTTCACACATAGAAACTGCTTTAAGTTTTTCCCCATGACCTCATGCCTTAAGATCAGGCTTTTAATGTATCAGGTTTTATTTTTCCCAGCTAAGGCTTAAACGGGCAGTGTCTTCCTCCTAGAAAATTAGACGAATGGGTAAAATCACGCTCCCCGATCAAGAAATTCACAGCTTGTAGAATTTATTCAATCTTTCACACTCGGGTATGATTTTCAATACCGCTAAAGAGCTTTGTTATGAACCGACATGCGATCATCACATGCCCGTATTGATGCGCGTGTCCGTGCCAATAGCTTAAATCACTTGATCTCTGAACAATCCCATGACTCATGACATATGCATCCCATAATTTATCATGTTTGTGCTATGGAAATGCACCGGAGCAGCATCGCCTCAGCAACATTTACAAGTCACCTTGGCAACAAAGCAGCTTCGCAGCTGCTCTCAGAATGCCTGGAAAAACCTAAACGAGATGGGAGAGAATTAAAGCACTTCAACTTTACTCCTTGGCTTTAATTGCTCGTTAATTAGCTAACACGGCTACCTCCCTTAAATCGGGCCTTTTAAAAAAAAAAAACAAAAACACAACACAAAACCCCCACCTTTTTTCACTCTTCTCCAGAAGGCACGATGAAGCTTAAGAAGACTCTCGGTACGGCAAAGCCATGCACCGCCAAGTCAGAGGAAAAGTTTAAGGGATCGGATATTGTGCCTTCGTTTGCTTCCAAAAAAGTCCGTACACGTGCTATACAGCCAGGAAAATGAGCAAGTCCCAGGGCAAGCTAAAAAAAGGAGTTTCCATCTCATCAGATGCCTCTGTAAGCATCACCTGCCTGTGTTATTTAGCCTTTTGTTGTTGTTGTCGTTGTTGTCGCACTGGTAGATTTAGAGATGCCGAGGGGGTGAGCAGCTGCTAGGGCCCCGATCGGCTCCTGCGCTCCACGCCAGGCACGGCTGCAGCCGCGCCGAGGCGGCAGTGGAGGAGCGCTGCGAGCCAGCTCCGTGCCACAATCACAGTTTCGGTTGCGGTTTTCCTCTCCCCCCCCTGACACCGGGCAGGTGAAGTGCTCGCGGCGCGGGTTGCGCCTAACAGCTCGCCGGTTTTGCTCCTCAACTCCCCGCTCACTCACGTAAAGGCACGCTGCTTTGCTTTTAGCCAGCGCTGGACGAACGCTACATAAAATGAGGTGAAACATCTTTCAGCAGCAAGATCGCTTGCAGGAGGCAGAAAGGGAAACAGAAAAGGTTGCAGACCATCAGCTAGTTCCCGTTCGAGAGCTTTAAAGCCAAACACACCAACAGCGTGGTTAGAAATTGGAGGGAAAAGAAAGGCAAGAGATAAGTAGCCCTGGCTCCCGCTGGTGATAAATGAAGGGGAAGAGCAGGCAGAGCGCATCGCCCCTTTGCCAGTTGCTCGGTGAGAGATGCATCAAGACCGCTGGCGGCTCAAGCCCCACCAGAGCCCAAGCCGCTACACTAGAGGCATTCAAGAAGTGTGAAACTCGGCTTCCTGATTTATCAGCCGCTATCCCGAGGGGCAGGAGGTGAACCACCACGATAAAAAACTTCTGCTGAGAACTGAATCTGTACCGGTAAGTACTCGTGGCTGTACAGCCGGGTATACGGAAGAGGAGCTCCCTCAGCAGAACAGATCTGCGCTTTTAGGAGTTTAGACATTTGGCCAAACTCTGAAATAGCCTGTTAAGTCAGAGTTAATTAGAAGAGGAGAGGAACGAACTAACATAAGACTGAACATACTTTCCCTGCTTCCAACAGTCATTTAACAACCTCAAACACATTTTAGCCAGCAGATTCTCAAGTGCTGGAGACCTCACTAAATGATGAATTTAAGGGCGCACCGTATCATCAGCCTTTTGCAAGGATGGGAAGGGGGGGTGTTTCAAACACCTGCCCGAGCACAGGAGCCGCAGCGGGGCGGGCGGCCTTTCGCCAGGACGGGATCCTACCTCTTTTCTGCATTGGGTCTGAGCAACAGGCTTTTGCTTGGGAAAAACAAGGCTGCCTGTGGAGCAGCACCAGGGGAGAGGAAAGGGGGAGGCCTCTGCTGCGGGTGCTGCTGCTGCTGCTGCTGCTCTCTATGCTTTCCAGCACACGCAGGGTGGGATTTAACAGAGGATGTCACCAGGGTGCCCGGAGCCCTCCGAGGAGCAAGGGGGGGCTGCAAGGGGGAGAGCCGGGGCAGCAGCCTGGTGAGCTCTCAGCTTTAGCACCGGGACCGCAACGGCAGCGGTGCCTTCCTCCCCGAAGACGCCTCGGTATAGCTTGGAGAAGGGAAAGCCCACTCAGCTTCTAGGGGCTCAGCTTCTCCCCACCCTGGCACCTTCTCCACTTCCACAATTAAAACTTTCCCTTGCTATTTTGCCAGGCCGATTTTTGTGGAGGCTGTTATTTCAGTGACAGCAATACCACAGTAACTTGATTTAGGTGAGTAACCGAGCAAGTACAATTGACCAGCATGCTCTCTGCCAAAAGCATTAAACAAAGACCAGAACAATAATTCAAAGTTATTAAATTGCCTGAATGAAATTTTCTACTAGCCCTACTCATGAATCTCCACCTATGGAAGAGCACACTTAACCACCAAGTTACACAGTGCACACACGGGCGCACACACACGCACGACACTGTCTGCAGTGTGTTTCCTCTTGTTTTGCAATACTTTCAGCATAGATAATTTTTTTTTCCGAGTTAAAAAACGAAGTAGCAGCAGGAAGAACTGGTCTATTCCTTAATTATATGGGTAAAAGAAAAAAGATTGGGAAACCTGATGGAAGCCAGATGCTTACCGAGAGTTCAAAAAAAAGTGCTTTTTCTCGCATACAGTAAAAAAAAAAAAAAAACAACCCACCATATTTATTTATTTATTTATAAGTTTGTCTTGCTTTTAGGGCAGCGTTGCTAGCACACATTTTCCATAGTCCTCTGATACCTTGCCACGGCCTAGAGGGAGCAGCCAGCCCCATGGGGAATTTCGCAGCCCCCCCGCCTGCCCTCGAGGACTTGCGTGAGCCAGGCGCACGTACCCCCCCGGCAACTGCAGCAAGAAGTCACCCAGGCGAACTAGCTTCTCATAGTTTGGAGTTTTACAGCCAGCTTTTATGGATAAGCCAGCCTGACAGATCACGTCCTTTCCCGCTCCCCATCACCCTTCTGTCCTCCATCCTTGCTTTGCCTGCAAGCTGCAATATTGGCATTTCCCAGAGCTGCAGCACCTTCAGGAAGCTGAACTCCTCGTTGCCTCCCACTCTTCCCCCACCTCTTTTCTGCATTTAAAACATAGCCTTAGACCTTCGCTTTCACTGGTTGATGGGTACCCCATCAATTAAAAGGACGATCTCTTTAAGACAGTAACTTCGGTGACAGTTAACTATCTCCTGAAAAAGCAAGTACAACCGTAACCAGTAACTTGCAGACCCCAAACAAGCACGGACAGCACCAGCCATGGCAGCTCCGCACCTGCAGAGCCCGAGGTCAGCGACATCAACCAGCAACACCGCGAGCACACGAACATTACGCTGCCCGCGCAGCTTTGTGGCAAGCTGCCGCGGCATAGAGACACGTACGCGCTTCAGAAAGCCATCTAAATTCGCTTACATCTGTCATTGTCATTTTGGTCAGCAATGGCATCTTCCAGAGCGACAGACTTTGGCTTCTTTTCACTGTTTCCTTTCAAGTTTTCCCAGTCTGCCTGGCTGAATCTGCAGACCTCTGAGTCTTTGGTAGCTGTTTGGCCTTCTCTCTCTTTCATCTCCAACTCTGAGAAGCGCATCATTGCACGCTAGAAAGAGAATTGATATGAAAAAAAAAGTCTTGCGATAAAAGCTACTTCATTTACCTTACCTTATATGAAAGCATTTCCAAAGAAAAATCGGCTCAAAACCAAGGTTTGAGCTAGACAGCTAGGGTAGGAGTTTAACACACCTGACTTGTAAAACAGTGTTCTAGCGTCTATATGCAAATAGCCACACAATTCTTTCATATATAAGTGTGTGTGTATATATATATAAGATATATATAAATGTATACTGTATATAAAACAAAAACATTCCATTTTGGAGGTAAAAAGAGACAAAAACAAAAAGAAAAAAAAAAAAACAACACAAAACTGTACAATGAATAAAGACGACCATGGCCCACAAACTTCCCTTTGTGTATTTGGAAATGAAATTTAACTCAAAGGTTTATGTAAGAGTCTAGTAATAAAAATTTGAAGAACTGACCTCACAGTAAGCAGCAGGTAGACATAAAATACTGTCCTCTTGTAATCCTTCCATCTATGTAATTAAAATGGGCACTCAATGGATCATTTAGATAATTTCATCCATTTTTATAAGCATAAACCAATTCTTTTCTTAACAATGCAAAACAATTTGGCTTAACTCATCCCTTCATTAAAAGTAAAATACAGAAAGGATATTCCTATACAGTATCTGTCTGTCATCCCTCAGCATCAACCTTCAATACCGCTCCTACTCTTTCCTAACGCGTTCGCTTGGCGCAAACGTTGCCTGAGACCCGCTAATGCATGGCTGCGACTCCTCTCCATCAAACGGCACGTTTGGCATACTAATCACAACTTCTGGGTACGCTTTGCTAGCTGGCACTACAGGCCAGCCGAGAAATTACAGCCATCGCTAGCGCCAAGGTAACATGCATGCCTGTCCGACTCCCCTCTGTAACTGCACAAACATTTCATACGTACATTAACATTTTTACCAGATCTTAGTAAAAGCCCTTTAAAGCTTACTAGCGCGTACATATGTAAAAGCCATACATACTATTCGTTACATCGCCTCGCTCTCATTAACAAACTTACTTTGCTATTTAAAACCGTTTCTGGCGAGTACGCCCTAGCAAAAAAATTTCTGATTTCCCCACCTGCGTTGCTTCTCTCAACTTTAACACTTGACTGCGACTTGCAACAGAGAAATAACGACAAAAAGCGCGGCGGTCGTTGGACCGCGCGGACTCACCTGCAACGCCCGCTGCTCCCGGCTGAGCTGGCTGGAGTCCGCGTACAGTTCGGTCGTCACACACTTGAATCGATCACCTACGTAACCGGCAGAGTTTGCGATCCTCTTGGCCAACTTAGAGGGCTTGGGTTTCAATATTTTGCCATCGGCAGATTCTGCGTCGTCGGCTCCGTCTTTGGTATATGTCTGGTTGGGGTCGATGCTCGGCGGCGCGGTCCCCATGCAGAATGGCTTCGCGTCCTCCTGCACCTTGCCAAAAGCCAGAGCCGGAGCATCGCTCTCGTGAGCGCTTTCCAAGAAAGCAGGCGAAGGCTGGACCGTCACTCTCTCTTTAGGCTGGCTCACAGATAGATCTTCTTTCCTTAAGCCGAACACCGATGAACCCTGGGCTTGCTTGAAATTATAGGTTTCATGAAGATCATTATTTCTTCCAAACTCCTCTCTCGTTACAATAAAATCTCTGTGCTGCGACGCCTGCTCTACCTTGTGCTTTGTAGGGTCATTAGCCTGATTACTGCTTTCCACAGCAAAGCCAGCTTTCGTTACGTTTGCTTCGCTTTTAGCCTCTTGCTCGTCTCGCAGAAGATCCGGGAAGAGATGTTTGTCACTTTTGGCCAAGTTTTTACTGTGGCCGGAGCTCTGGTGCAATTTCACGCTCTTGTCACCAGGTACTTCGAAATGCATCTTCCCGCTGCTCTCCAGGAGCTCCGGCAACCGGCCCCGCAGAGCCGGGTCCTCATAGCGGACCCTCTCGTGAGACCGCGACCTCCTTTCCACCTTCTCCTCCTTATTGATCTCCAAAGCCGAATGCTGCAGCAGCATGGGGTGCACCATCCCCATCCCCAGCGCGTCCTGGTAGGTCATGAACTCCCCCCGCCCCGCCGGCGGGCTGTAGGGGAGGCCGGGTTTGGGAGCCAGGTGGCCAGGGTAGAGGCTGCCGTTGGGCAGCAAGACGGGGTGCGGATACACGTGTCCTTTCCCGTGGAGGGAGAGAGGGCTGATGGCTATCCCCTCCGGCACCGGGTATGGGAGGTAACTCCTGGGGGAGGGCAGAGGCGGGGAGCGAAACGCCTCGTTGGGCGGCAGGAAGATGGGGCTGGAGGCCAGGGCGGTCTCGTTCGCCTTGAAGTTGGCTTCCTGGCTGCAGGATTTGGCCACCTTATTGCTGTGTTTTGCGGGGGTGGCGACGGGCTGCCCGACGTGCTGTATGACTGAGGCGGTGCTCTCCGCGGAGCTCCTGGCCATCTTGGCGCAATCCACATTGGCATTGGGAGCCGGCGATGCCGACGCC